TACGAAATTAAAAATAAAAATTGATATCGAATTCAACAGGCAGCTGGAAAAGTATAATTAAACTACAGGACTATCTCCAGTTTAATTTCTTTCAAGATGAGGCGATAAGCCGGCCGAGAAATTCCAATCTCATCGGTGAAATCAGATTCGCCTTTTCCGCAGGTGGTAAAATTTATCAATTCGACGGAAGTGAGTGAGGCCTCGTGTATACACCGTAGATATATCTCGCTCTCTCGCTCTTATCGATGGTATGCGATCGATCCAAATCTTGCAACGTAAAAGTTGAGATGTGCTTATAGTATGAGCAAACGAAAGTGAAAGTAAAAAAGCTTGCCGGTCGAGAAGAAATTACCTTTTCATCACTGCACTTCGCAAATTGAATCAGTGCCTACGTGCAAGGAAGAAACGGCGAGTCGACAATAATAAAGAAGAAACGAAAGAAGCGAACAATCGCCATCGATCATCGCTGAAAGCCCAAAGCGACCGACATCTTGCTCGGATAGCCTGCAGCAAGTCGTAAAGTTATATTTTCGACTGCAATAAAATGCAGAACGAGTGGCATACAGCAGCACGCAGACACTCGATCAATGAATCGGTCTCGTCGAAAAGTTGAACGATCGCAGCAGAGAGCTAGAAAATAGCTCGAAGCGTCAGAACCGCCGGCAGCGGCGGTGGCAACGCCAAGCCGAGGAAGTGCAAGGTCCTCGGTTGGGATCTTGATGAGTACAGAAGAATGGGAGCTGTCGAGATGAGGGAACGCGATAGGATCATGAACAAGAGCCGGCAGAGTACGTTCTAAGTTGTAGTTTTAATAATTCAAAGCCGAAACTGTCAAGCATCTGTTTTTTTTTTCTTTCTTTTTTTCAATCTCCAGCTACGTGCAAACTTTTCACCATTTCCATATACTTCGTCACGCATATTTTCGCGAGAACGAGCGTAATTTTCCAGCTAAACGCGAAAACTCAGCTTCGCGAAGAAGCCAAGTAAACTTGAAAATTCCAAGGCAGATTGAAAGTTGCGAAGCGGCGGCAATCTTTTTTCTTTCTTTCTGTGCCACTTAAGAAACTATTTTATAGGCTCAGGTGAAACTTTTTGAATCTCGTAGATAATGCTCGCTGAAAGAGACTAGTCGAAAGAAGGGCGAATTGTAACTTGGCCTTTTTTTGGTTTTACAGACAAGGTGCAGATTTACAGGATGCCCCTCACGCTCGTAAATGTTCGGATTTCAAGTCTATAAACGGGAGTAAAATATCGAAAATCCTGCTACGTACGAAAAAACAAAGACTCAGTCGAGTGTGCGTGTGCGTTAGGCGTGCACGTTCGGTGCTTACTTTTATGACTTTTCCGTTGATTTATCGGGAGTAAATGACATTGTTACAGCTGCTTGCGCGCGTTCGATCCTAAGAGCCACTTTTTCGCGTAACACAGCTCGTACTGGCTAATTTTAAAGCTTTTCTGTCATGCCCGCGACCGAAATAAATGCTCGATTCACTTGCACGATTTATTATAACCTGCAGCGGCATTTAACCTTGCCAGCTGCTCGCTGGCTTTTCGAGCGTCATAAGCTTGCGGCGATGCAAGAGTTCCATTGAAAATAATAAACGATTGCGGACTCCGACTGCCAAAGGGACTGCCAACGGGACTGTCAATGAGGACGATTCGTCAAAAGTCTCTGCGCGCTTCAACACTGCCGAAAAAAAAAGAAAGTGTAATTATTTATCATCGGCCGCCGCGAGAACGTGTAAATTGCGAACATAACGATAATAAACGGAGATTTATAAGCTTGTTAGCGGGCCACTGCGGAATATAATTCGCCTGCGCGTAACACGTGGTGGAAACGCGCAAAGGCAAAATATTATTGATATTCATCATATCCACGCTCACCCGGCTGTTTATCTTTATTCGTATATTTTAATGCCTCGCGCATATATTTACGCTCGATGAATATACACGTGCACTCGTTTTTATTAATACGCATCGCTCGTACGCAGTGACAATTAGCGGGATCGAATACATTGCAATGATTTCCCATTTGATGAAAGCATTTCGATACTTCCCCGTTCTCATCGTAAGAGAAATTCGTAACGTGCCCGTAGAGCATTAAATCGAATGGAAATTCATCAGATAAAGCAATATCACCGATTTGTCAGGCGCAATTAGGCAGCAAAGAAATAAATAAGTTGCGCGTCCATGACGAAATTAGGCATCCACCTAGACGCGAATAATCTCGATATTTCGCACTGACATGTCGAGAGAAGCGTGGATTGATGTATGGCCGTACGAAGCGATCCAATCTCAGCGACACTGCTGCTGCTGTTGAGCGATCGAGTTGTCGTTAAGCTTAGCCGAGTGCCATTAAAGTTGGTCAATTGCGGCTGCTGGCGCCTCGCTGCGATAGACGAGTTGAAATTTGCCATAGCGACTGGGAGGACCTCGATCCTCGTGAAATTTCGATATGAAAGTTGACTGGATAGCTTGCTTCGGACGATTGTGGATGATTTGACGAGCGACGTCTGAAACGAATTAAATTCGTTTGGCGAGGTGCTTCCCCCTGCACGCTGCCGCTCAGTCAAGTATTTGCTTGTAGTCCGCCGAGCAGCACCGGTAACGCGCGAAAGTAAAAGCAGCGCGAAGTTGCCGGAGAGAATTCTCCCTCTCTTCTCGGGAATATCGAGACATCAAAGTGGGCAGCGCAAGATCGAGAATTTAGTTACACGTCGGCAGACGCAATTTCCACCTTTGAGAGGAAATCTCGCGCTTGCGACCGTGGCAACATAAAGCGAAATATTTTGCCGCGCGAGACTCTCTTCTTTGATCAGCGCAGAAAAGGACTTTTGAATTCGCAGCGCGCTTATATTGCCTGAGCTTTGCAACGTCATCTCCACGAGCATTTTTCCTGCAAAGCTGTGAGAGAGTCCGTGCGAATTTTTAATGCACCCGCGGAGCTTCATTAACGTTCCTTTCTCTCTTTCCTGCTTTCCTCTTTCTCGTCGTGCCACTGACGAGATTAAAACTCGGCGGGAATGCGCTTGTGCGCGGTTTATAACGCTTTGGCAGTTGACGGTGGTACTGATTTTTTGCTTCGGCTGTTGGAACAAAGCTCTGCGTAGATGTGTTTTGCGTTTCCCCCGGTGGCGAACGCTTGTCAGGCGTCAGTCAAACAAGCCGAGAACCATTAGCACTTTAACAGGGTACTCGATCAGAGATTGAAAGGCTTACTTTATTTGACTGAGCGTTTTACATTTCTGAGGCTCATGCATTTTTGCTTGTACGACGCTAGCGTAGTTCTTTTAAAATGTTTCAAAGCTTTGCGCAGCGACCTCTTGAATCGCCTTCTGCATTTGCTAGCATAAAATCCTTTAGCTTTTACGCTTTTTATGATTATTGTGGCCAAATCTAATAGCTAATATAACAGATGCGCTCACATTTAAAACCTACCAACGTTACTTTCTCTCGAGCGGCCCACTCAACATTTTGCATAAATACGTTGACTTACTTTTGCTGGATAAAATGGACAAAATCTTTGATCGATATAGAATTTCCAATTTTTCTCCAACAGATTGAGATAATGCTTGACCGATTTACGGTATTTCAACTTGCAATATCTATTTCGTCGACGCTTAAACACGTAAACAGGGAAAAGCATGTGCCGATTCGCGTGAACGCGTTCAAATCCTTTATTTAGGTTATGCATGCAAATTTGATTCATCGTGTAACAAACCTACAATCATTGACATTCGATAAGTTGAATGATTTATTTGCTCTGAGCCGGCTTATATACTCACGAGACGCAATTTCGACATTTCAGTGTACGATAAGTGTTTGAATATTTTCATAATAATTTCTTCCGGCAAATCCAGCAAAGACCTGCTGTGAGTTTCTGTTACTTTCGTAACGGTGCTATCTCTGCTAGCACTTTCCATCGTTGAATGTGCAAAACTTACGAGACACTTCAAATTATTCGAACAGCATACTTTTAATATCCGAGAAAGAGTAATAATAAAACTTTAGGTTGTCTATAAAAATATAGACAACCTGAAGAACCTACTATCCTGTTCAAACAAAGGAAAGACGATGTAAATTTTTAACACGTGACCAAATTCCACATAGATTTTCATTCACAACATACGTGTTTATTCGTTATAGGCAGATTTCGCGTGCTTCAATTGAAACTGATTGCAGCTATTTTGAGAAACTTGCCGGTAGCTATTCCGGAATTGGGATTATGTATGGCTACACTAAATATTACAATTTATTGGTGTGTACAGCGCCAGTGCATATCTCTAAATTTAGTCCGAAAATTATCGTTAAAAAGCGGCACTTTTGTATCGAGCGTATCGAAACAAACGGGCACACGGTACAAGCTGACAATCAAACAGAGCGTGGAAAACAAATGAAAAAGGTTGCCCGGCCACGCGCGAACATCAAGCGGAAGGCGACGGCATGCGCGTAGTTGAAGTGCACGTCGGATCGAGGAACTGCACTAAGTAATTGCCATGAGCTTCTCGCGCCAGGTGATTTATCACGGAGCAGCAAGGATTAGAGAAGCGGAAAGGATTGTGTGAATCGATCTGAGATCGAGCCTCGTCTTATGAATAGCTCGCTTGCTGCTTTTCGTTGCGCAACGAGGCTATCGGTCTTATTCCAATTGTGCTTTTTCTTTCCTTTGGACTTTCGATACTTGATTTACTTCAACGGGCGCGCTTACTGAATGCATTCGGTCGGTCTACACGTTCATTATCTTTTTTTCAACGATTTACTTGGCAACCGTTATTAATATTCTCAGTAAGTTCACCGCGGCACTTCCAAATGATATATTATATATTTTGAGAGGTCGAAGGAGAAACGTAAGCCAATATATAACCGATATGTTAGCTCGTTCCTTATTTATCTTGGTCCTTCATCAATCCTGGGCTCAAAATTTTCACTCGAGTACCCCGTGAGGAAAGCGGGTAGTCTCCTTGGCTCCTTTTTTCTTACGCAGGCTGTATTTGTTTTAGGCCAGAATGACATCAAGAAGCTACGCCGGGAGAACGAACAGCTCAGGAGAGAAATATGGAGTCTGCGGGATGAGTACGACAAGCTCGAGGAGATCTTGAAGAAGCAGAAGAGTCGAGAGGAGAGCGATGAACCCGAGGTTCGTATATACACAACCACCTTGATTGACTTTATTGATCCTACCTCCAGCTTTTCTCCACTTTCTCACATTTGACATATTGAATTAGCACAGAATTTACCAACTGTACAAGTATTGTAGGGTATTGCTCATTCATTAATTTAAGTTTGGTTTTATTGTCTCTAATTCGGAGTAACTGAGCAACAAGTGATTGACACACAATATGGCTAGTTCAGTATCCTACTTGCTCAACTTCTTATCGAATTTATATTATAAACTTCTATTGCATCAGACGATTAATTTGCATGATTAACAATTTACTCACTTTTCATTTTGTTTCACATTCATATTAATGGACGACGAAGTCAAAGTGATGAAACAGTGATAATCAAAGTACTGATAAAATATAACATTGTGAATGGGTCTGGTCGATCATTCAAACGAGCAATACTCGTGTTAAAGAGGGGGGGAGGCCTTGTCCCTGTCGGACGCTTTAGGAGTGCAATTTTCTCGAAATTCGGCGAGGTAATCTCTTCCGGCTCGCTTTGCGCGCAATTAGGCGGGCCTGGCTGCTTGAAATGACACCAGTAAAATATTTAACACGCTATTTTCCTGGCTAACGCGCTCGCGCGAGCGCCACTCTAACTTTCTGACCCTCTGCAACCCTCCGTCGTTTGCTGCTAACTCGATCGATTGATGTCGAAACGCACTGGGCACGCATCTATCTCCGTTGTTTGCGTCGCGTACGCGCGAAGCAATTATTTCTATTTCTATCTCTCTCTCTCTCTCTCTCTCTCTCTCTCGCTTTTCTCCGCGTGTTTGCTCAATCGTTGTTTTCGCCTGCGCGTTATATAGTGATCAACTTTTACGATATATGTATACGAAAATGGATTTTTTTTAATAACTATCAAGTTCTTGTTTTACGGCTCGTTTAGTCAAAAGAAAAACAACCAAGGAGTACATTGGTCGTCCATGGGGATTGGTTAACAAATATTTCATGCCATCGTAAAACTTTCCTCTCTTTTTTTAGAGACATTCAAGGATACAGAGAAGCTGTGTAGGAATTTTTATGAGATAATATGTCGTATAGCGGTGCTTGCTGCTTCTAGCTTTTATTAAATTTTTCATTCAAGCCAAACAAAAAATAGTGGGCGCAAAAGACGAATATGACCAAATCTCGATTAATTTCCGCGATTCGGCAAAAGAATAACGAACTTATCGGAAATATATAATTTTCAGGTGCGCTCAGAAACCGAAATTGCTGGCTCAGAGTTCTCGGACGACGAAGAGGAAGAAGACGACGATGACGATGAAGAAGAAAGCGAATCCGACGATAACGACGCAACCGACGATCAAGAAGTACGCCAAGAGAACGCAGAGAACCAAAAAATATCCTCGGAAAAGTCAAACGTCACCCCGACGATGCAGCAGCAACAGCAGCAGCACCACACCTTGTCCATAGTTCACGAAGAAGAAGAGCCACGGAAACGAGACAAGGGTCAAGCGTTCGTTGCTACAGTCAGCGTGGAGCCCGCTGCCGTCGGCGCCACACAGCAGCCAACGTTTCCGTATCACGCGACATCCTTCGAGCAGCCATATCACATGACAACAACGAATTTCAACTATCCCATCGACAGCTCGTTCGTGTTCCCTCCAGCCTCAAAGCCGGAGCCTTATTCGTCGCTCGTCGATAGTATGTTGATAACTACTTATCCTCGAGTACATCATCGTCAGCAGCAACAACAGCAGCAGCAGCAGCAGCAGCAGCAGCAGCAGCAGCCTTCCGTCGTCAGTCAAACTTCGAGTTTCGACATGGGCATTTTCGAGCTTCCCCACGTCGCGACACCTGCCCCACCTCCCGGCTGGCAAAGTAGCCTAAACGCTCGAAGCAGTCCGTTGAACTTTGCCACGGGCTTACCGAGGACGCAGTCGCCTTTGTTGGACGTCGGCGGGCCAACTCTCAAGCCGCCCGAGGAGTTCCGATGTGTAGAAAACGGGCATCAGCGGCAGAAGAGTCTGGCTGAGAGGCGGAGGGCTTTTTTCAAACAGTATACGGACAGTCAGCGGGCTAGTGGGTCTCGTGACAATAGCGGCTTGGACCCGAACAAAGCTCCGGATCCCGCGGCAAGCGGCAGATTGGAACGCTCGATCGACACCGCCAACGGACTGGATGCATCGCCATCGGCTCTCAACGACACTGGCAACCGGCCGAAGCATTTCTTTGCGCCTCTGCCCGTGAAATGTAGGTCTCCGTGTAATGGCGAAGCTAACAAAACGATGGGCGCCGATCTCACAATGGCCGGCGTGTCCGATAACGGAAACAGTCCGAGCAGCGAGAAAACTGGTTCGACAGTGATATCGAGAGGCCGTTATGAGCAAGGCTCGTTCGACGTAGCCGTTAGCGAGAGCGACACCGGCAGCAGACACGTCGTCTCGTTCTCCGACAATGATAATTTCCGATACGCAGACAATGCGGGACAAAGTGATTTTTTCGGTGACTCGAACAATCTACTGACCAAATCACTGTCCTGTCAGGATCTCAATTCACGCGTATCGTTCGTCGAGAACCTCGGTTCAAGAAACGAGCAATTAGCTAAGAGCGATAGTACTCTGGATAATACGTCGATCAAGGCCTTCAAAACTCATCTGAACGTAACACTGAGGCAACCGGGTTCACGGAAATCGTTGAGCCCAGACACGCCGGAGATTCCAAAGCTACCGTCCATAGACTACAAGCTGTTCAACAATCCATTCCTGCAAACTTTCGAGCAAGCTTATCAGAATTTTCCAATGAGGACGGAATGTCAGAGTCCGCTCTCGCTACAGGTGTGCGAGAGTCCGGTCTCCGGAGCTGGCTACTCGAGTCCGGTGAGGATGCAGCCGACGTTCACGAGTCCGAGCGAGCCCGAGTACGCGACTTGCAAGCGAAAAGATCTGGAACGATTGCGACTGATGATACCCAGCAACAAAATGCTCGACGGCGACAGGCAAGAGTACCAAGTGACGTCCTTCGAAAATCCGAGTCCGCGCACCTTGCAAATTCCGCCCATGACGCCGTACGAGCTGGAGGCACTGCGCAGAATGCCCACCGGCACAACGCCCCTGGACCAGCCGCCGATGCTGACGCAACCCACCCCCAGGCTCTATCAAAATGTACCTTTCACTCCGGGTATGAGGCACGAGTCCACCACCAAGATATCGACGATGACTCAGACTTCGCCGAACGATCGGCCGCAGGACTCGACGACGCAAGCCCAAGACGAGCAGCCGAAGAGGCGACGGTCCCGGAAGGAAAAGAGCGGCTTGGCGAAGGAGAAAGGAGGCTCGATAAGGCGCAGATCGCTAAGCACGGCGCGTCGCAGCAAGGAGCAGCTGAAGAAGCAGCCAAGCGTGGCATCCGCCAAGGACATTCCAGAGACGCCGAGAAGCCAGCGCGGCGAGTCGGAGCAGCAGGACAAGAACGAGAGCAGGTCCTCGTCGTCGGGTCAGGAGTCGCCCAAGAAGGACCAAGTCAGCACGAAGCGAGTCTCGTTGTACTTCAGCGCGAGGAAGCGGCCGTCGCTAACCTCGTCGAGGACCTCGACGCGCAGCAGGAGCATCGACAACTCGCCGCGGCATCTCGGTAGGAGCGACAACCATCTACTCGAGAGGGACAACCCTATCCAACAGAGGGAGAGAACCAATTCAATCAGTAGTCGAGAGGCCAGAGACAAACAGCAACGCAGGACCAGTACTAGTAGTGGTAGTGTGCCTTGGTGCGCGTGTTGGGGTAATGGCTGCGTCTAAGACTTTTCCAATCAGTGCTAATTATACAAACTATGGGCTATGTTATATCTGTTCGTTCTTCTTGATGGGGCGCACGACAAAAATTTCAGTTTTTTTCAAATTACATTTGCACTTGACTTCGTCGTGTGAAAATCGTTACAAAAAAAAAACATTGCGTTATCTAGGAAACGGAAGTAAACCAATTTTATACGCTTATTCACGTTTATCTATATATTTTATGTCGTGTTCATGCTTGTATGCAGATGTTTATTAGTTATTTGTTAATCAAAAGTTTTGTAATGTCGCGTCCAACACCACTGACGAGATAAGCAATATACGCAAGTTTTAAAAAGTTTCAATTGCTCACTGTAACTGCATCCCGACTATAAAAAGCCAAGCCCTATTCGTCGTATTTGCTGGAGTTGTGGTGCTGCAGGTTGCGGCAAATAAAGAGATCCCGTGCAAACTTGACGAGCAGCCGAGTAGCAGTGTTGTCTCCTGCGAGGTGCAACGGGACTTGGAGCCGATGCTGTATGTCGAGTGGGACATTGCACATGGCTATGCGCAAAGAGCCTGGCGTTCGCGCGCGGCACGCGAGAGACAGCGAGAAAGGTACGTTCGACTGGCGAAACGAGGCACTTGAATTAACGCCGGCCTCTTCGCCTGCACGCGGAATGTAATAAGGCTCCGAGGCCTCCAATTGCGCCTAAACCCTCGTCCTCCTGTGCCCATCTTTCGCGCTCGCATACCTGTATATACGCGCGCGCTCGAGCACGATTTCGCGCCCGCGATGTCCCTCGTCTCTAGGCGAAGGCTTCCGCCGCGCGCCCCTGCAATTAAAATGTAAATTATCCCTTTTCCGCGCGCGCGAGCGCGAGCACTAGAGCGGCTCGCTCCCTTTAGCGGGCTTTCATCTCGCTTCCCCTCCGCGCGCTGCTTCCGCGCTTCGTCTTGCTGCGCGGCCCGCTCAACGTGTGCTGCTGCTGCTGCTGCTGCTGCTGCTTCTGCTGCGCCAACCTCGCTCACGACGATTAACTGCCAACTTGTTTACTTGACCTCCTCGGCAATGAGCGTTACTTCTCCAATTTCGACTCGTTGCCTCGCGTTCGTCGCACTTTTTCGTTTTTTATCCAAATTGGTTTCTGATTGTATCTGATGACGCATAGCGATCGACGCAGAAGAGCTCTCAGCGAACATTCGTTTTTCGACGAGTGGTCTGGCACATCAAGAACAATGCTTCTCGTGTCGAGGCCATAAAGTGAAACGGTTTCCTGTTGTCGGTCATACTCCTAATTTATTTAAGGCAAACAGTGCAGTAGCTCTCGCGATGACTGCTTGTCGAGAGAAATAACGCGGGCACAGACGGCACGAATGACTTGGTGGTCGAGGCGTGGAAACGAAAGAGTTCTTTGGGCCGTAAAAAAAAAAGAGAAAGAGCAACGTCGAGACGCTTTCCAGCGCCGAGGCACAGCTCGTGACGCTGATAAGGCTAGCGAGAGACGAGAAAATTAGCAGCTTCTTTGAGATCTACACTTGGGAGTGAGGTGGGAAAAAAAGAGCTGTTTACACGGCGGTTCTTTCACTCGCCCTCCTTCCTTTCCTTTTTCTACAACCGCAGGGTCGCTGGTCTCTGCTGCGTGCGGGGTTATCTCGAGTGCGCGTGGCGAAATCTAAATTGCGCTGGTTTATCGGAGCAGAAGGTTCGGTGCGCAGGGAAAAACTCATTAAAACGTGGCCGGGTCTACGCAGATCTCTTCGTGAATAATTTTAATATCGCGGCTGTTTTTTTAGACAATTCGTTGACATTAATTTCTGAAAATCAGAAAAATGTTTGTACGCGAGTTTGCTTTTAAAGTGCTTTCCGACTAGTCATTCCGTGGGATAATCAATAACGCGTAAATTCATTTCAACGAATGCAACCCTATCGGCAACTAATCGCAATCTTAATTTAATGAGCACTTCGAAGTCTGAATTGTTTACAGGCGCCTAAAAGATAGAACAATTCAATCATATTACGTTTCGCTTAAAACGCAACTTCGGTCTTTTAGATTTACGATCTTCACTTCGTGCGCTACGTTCCCATTAAAATTTCACGCTACCGTTGCATCTTCGTTCTCGCGTTGGCAAATATGATTAGCGTTCGCGCTTGAACGCTCGCTAAATAGACTTTGTCGCCTACTTGAATTAGCTTTCGCACGTTTTTTTCATTCTTATTCGCGACTTGTCATGCAAATTTACTCTCTGCGGGAACGAACTACGCAATGGTCGACGAATTTTTAACGGGAATTTAAAGAGAGAGAGAGAGAGAGAGAGAGGAAAAATACTGTTAACGCCAACGAAACTCGTTATAAAGTTTTGGCACAATGCTCCGAGTTTGAACAGCACGGCAATTAACGCGAAACATTGTTACAAAATGTTTAACTTTGCCGAGCTTCTCATTTTTCAACGAGATAAAATTAGCGAAAGCTCACACACTTGGAAATTTTTTCAGCTATTGGTCACTCGAATGTAGTGTTGAAAGCATTTAATTCAGTTTTTCTTATCAAGTGAAACCGAGATTATTCAATTTGAGTATGCAAAATCTGTAATAAAAAAAATCTCAAATATGACACGATTTCATTGAAAAAAACTCTATGGCACATCAAACATCAACTTTACTTTATTCGTGAAATTCAATGCCGCCCTCTCCAAGAAAAAACCTTGTTGTAACCTATCTACTTCAAATAACAAAAGTATACGTGTGTAAAAAAAATATTTTGCTGGAAAACATCACTTGTGGTAGAAGGCATTTGTACGATTTTCGCGTGAGTTTGAAATGAAGGGAAGTTCAATATTATTGGAAAATGGATTAGCCTGTCCGGATAAAACGAGTCGACACGACGATATTGGATAATGAAAGAGCGTCGAACGAATGAAGCTACGGAGCTCGCAGTTTTTAGAGGCGTTTTCTGTTTCTAAATCCATTCGTACTTTTTCAATCAAGAGAGTTATAGGCTTAGGAAAAGCGCCGGAAATAATAATTTTCAATTAGATAGAATTAATGACGATGCTCGTGAAAGAATGACCAATTGCAGTACGGGCATCCAACGTTCAAAGGCAATCCAGATAAAACAGTGAATAAGACAGCAGACAATAACTCACTTCCGCCAAAATAGGAATATCAGCTGCGATCGACGTCATCATCGATCTCGTAAAAGGCACAGCAATGGCCATAAGAGAAAAGAAAGCGTTGAAAGCGGCGTGGCGCGCGGGTGCTCTGCCGAAAATCTTTTGTCTCTGGCTTTCGCTCTGGTGGCGCATTCCATCGTTGAAATTGAGCGTGCAGCAGAATGGAGGGGAATATCGGCGGGAGGTGAGCTGTTCGTTCGCGGTTTTGAATTTCCCGTCTCGGCGGTATATTCAAAGTCGGGAGGGGGAGGGGTCCGGATCCCTTCCCAATGGAGGAAAGGAGACGCGAGGCAAAATAAGAAAAGGGAGGGAATAGGGAAGCCGAAAGGGCTGGGCGAAAAGTTTCGAGTTTAAAAGCTTCCAGCGGCACGCGGTCTAATGGACTTGGACCACTTCCGATCAGGATGCAGCGACAGCCACGCGAACTCGATAGAAAATTTGCCGGGATGCGCTTTTCATTGTGCTACAGCCCCGTGGCCTACCTCCTCCTCTCCCTCCTCCTCCTCCTCGGATTCTCTATTAAGGGAATATCTCCGTGGCTTTTCTTCACATTTCTTTTCTGTCTATTTATTTTCAATGCATTCTTTTGTAACTGTCCACTTTTATTACGAAAGATTAATTTGACATTCAACAAATGTTTGCTTAAATAACTGTAAACAAAGCTGTGAGAAAGAGAAAATGAACGAGTGAATTACCGTCGGCCGTATTCTTCTATCCAGGCTTTTTGCGGAATTAACTTAGGCCGGAAATTTGGCGCGTATGCGTTGGAAAACGAATGAGCGCATAAATCAACAGTAACGATCGCGTCGCGCCTCTCTCTCTCTCTCACTTTTCAAGTGAAGAGTAGTATGAGTAGTAAGAGAGAGAGGGAAACCAACGACAGACAAGAGAGCAGAGGAAATGCAAGGAGCCAAGGGGCGTTAGGCTGCTCAATGAGAGGGAAAGTTATGGGGCAAGGTACGACGACGAGTGTTAGTTATTCTATGTCACGTTCCTCCATATATGGGTGCTCAAAGCTCAACTCTAATGAACCGCGCTCGTCAATTTTTCCTTGCACATCTGCGAGCAACGAAGCAAAAGAACGTCGTGGCTTGCATTCTTCTTGAAAGATTTTGCTTTATAGGCAGCAAGCTGCTTGTCGTATAACGGCAACAGGCCAGCCGCTTTATGCCTCTGGCACAATAATTTGGCGCACCAAAAAGATTCTAACTGCGCCATGTGCCGCTCGCGTCCTTTCATTCCCGATAGCCGCGGCTCGATGTGTAATTATTAATATTCATTTTTTCAATAATTAATATTTTGAAATGCCATCTTAACTTTAACCTCGCCGCTTTACGAGTTGATAAAAATTAAAAACGCTCCAGCCGCGTTTATGTGCGCCTATCGATATTCGGATAATCTTTATTCACACTTTACGTTGATGTTTATCCAAGTTTTATGTAACGACCGCGCAATAGCAATGCGCACGCCTACAGGCAAAAATAAATTAAGAACGGGCCGAGCGTATCTCCAAAAAACCACGAATTTCCATTTAAGCTTTTACGAGCCAACTGGAAATACACAATGCAAGCGAGCACGAGGCGCACGTTATAATACGTTATTTCCAGCGCTAAAACTTTGTGAAATTCTACGGGAGAGATAAACGTTGTTGCTTTCTTTTTACGCGCCATCAAGCGATTCGTGGACTTCTATACGAAATAGGTTTTACTAAAAGAGGATGGACCGCCCAGTGCGTATTAAGAACCTCGAGCTCGCATTGTATCGACTTATTCATGATCCCATTTTGCTCCGTGTCAATTATATTTATGTATTCCTGTCGGCATGTAATTCATTACCGACGTTTTAAAGGTTTTTGCGAAAGACAAAAAGAAAAAAGACGCACTCAAGCTGAGTAGTAATGGAGAATGATCATTGGATGATTAATGTGTTTGGCCATCTAATAAAAGGTTGAACTCGTCCCTCGAGACGGGGGAGAATCTTCTTAAAAAAATAATAAAGGGTATAAATCGTCGACACCTGCTTTCCTGAAGGCTTGGCTGAATTTTTCTCAAACGTTGCTAAGTGATGACGACGCTTTTTTAAAGTTTGCAAATCTGTGATAAAAAAATTTGAATTATGCTTCGATCCGTCGACTTTTTTTTATCGACAGTGTAATTTTTTAAAATATAGATAGATGTTACAAGTAAAACTATGAATATTACGCTGGCTTTCGATTTTTAACGGAGTGCTAAAACAGTTTTATATTGATGACCGCAACTCTACATACTGAGCGTTTTACGCTTCCTATTACGGTTGGATAAACTTATAAAGCTGAATTTTCCTTTCTTTTTTTTAACTTTCTTTCTCAACTC